TTCCAAGTCAAGAACTCTGTTCCCTGGGAGGAGTTCAACCCCACTGTTTGATAGACCGGACAAAGCGTTCTGCAGAACATCCTCTATGACAAAGTTGAAAAGGAATTCCATTTTGTCGAGATTGATCTGGTTGTAGCTGGTGCGCAAAACGGATTTGCATCTCGCTGAGATTTTTCTATTCGCTTGCACATCACCCCTGTTTATTTGGGCTGTGCGATCACTCAGGCGGTTCAATCAAATCGGTTCTATAGGGTCTGTTTCGGGGGTTCAGCAAGTTGATTGCGAAATCTTACTTATAATAATATTACTTCAGTGCGTATGGCAATCAGCAACGTATACCAGTATAATCAAAATAAAGCAAAGGAATCGGGTAATACTCAAGGCGACACCAGATTTGCCTACTGTGTTGTCAACCATCAACAACGGGATTCGAATCTGATCCATAATAGGCTGTTTGGCTCATCGTAACGATTAAAACCAGCAATGAATGTGTATTACAAATAGAATTCTGAAGTTGGGTATTACGAGAACGCTCCTAGTGAAATATAGTGCGTTCCGGGAAACGGATTTACCAATCTGAACCATGCCGATATTTCCTTGATTCATGGATGTGCGCTTTGGTGAATAAGGTGCCTCAATGTGGATTAGCGGTTTGCTCTACCCAGACGTTAATCGAGAATTCGTAGTTGACGGGAACCTGTTCATACAATCCACCTCGTTGGTGGCTGGCCATTTGAACGTAATCGACAGTTTTGTTTGACTCGGGAGTGGAACAACAAACGGCATTAGAGACAACATCGAGCACAGCAAGTGCAACTTTGTTATCAATCCAGGCAACTCTAGGGTTCGGAGACGCTATTCTCCTCTTTCTTAAGGAAAGACGGGTGTACGGTTGCACAATTTGAGGTGGCTCCCCTTACGTTTGTAAGGCGTTTTCCTTCGATTTCGAGGATACCGGTAGGCTTTCCTATTTAGCCGTTGCTATCTCACAGGAATTATCGGAGTCTGTTGTCAACATTATGCGAGCAGTAAACAGACAAAAAGGTATTTTTTTTTATCTCTGAATTGGAACGGCGATTGTTCATTATGTCCGTAATCTGCGGTATTTTTGGCATCATGGACACCTATCTACTATGTATTGTTTTCCATCACCACTCGCCGCGCTCTCTGAGCGTTGTGCCTGACAGTTCAGGATTATCCGCATGGTCATCAAGAAATTGCCTGACTGAAATGCAAACGATGAAGAGTACCTTTGATCAGTACTCAAGAGGATACGGCCCAAAATGGAAACCATTGGACTGAGTTTGGAATACTTTTATTAGCCGAAACCAGAGGTAGAGATAAATTGTCCTTGACAACTTTTCAAATCTGAGGGCGCTCTTATCAAGTCAGTTTAGAGCTAATGTTACGAGCCAGACGCATCGTTTTACGTCCGTTCTGTTTTAAAATTTTTCTCATATACTGTGGCACATTGTGAGAAACGCTGTGCAAGTTT